CTAATTTGATCTGAATCCTCAGTAATCATTCCTGACCCATTTGCTAGGGGCCTGGAGTCACAGTACCTGGTTTCTCCTAATTTTTCACTAATCAGCTCTCCTCCCCTCAAATTCTGATCTTAGCTATTTACCATATTCTTACAACTTATCCCCTTTGCCCCCAATTGGCCTGAATGTTCTGCTACCCACCTGAATTCAGTCAGCCTGCTGCCTGAGGCCCCTAATCACAAGAGAGGTGACAAAGGATTAGAGTCCCTGAAAGGCCCTCTGGTACAAGCAGGCTGAACAAAGAGTCAGGCAGCATGTGAGACTGTGATACATGCACGGGTCCCAGTGAGCCTCCCTCCTTGAAGTATAACCTCTGTTAACTGTTGAAGCAAAGGAGATTCCTGAGTGGATTTTGCTGCTCTGGTCGTCACATGTGTCATTTTTCTTTTCACTTGTCTTCTTCAGCTGCTGTCCAGATTGGCCCAGTAATTGTTGTGGAGGGATGCGTAGAGATAGGGAGACTTTTGGGGGTTAAGTTAGTTTTGAATTGCTTATTTATATCATGGAGTTAATAGTTTCGTCTAGAATTAAACTGCCTTAAATCTGCTTTGGGAGATTTCTTTGGCTTGTTCTGTACTTTCCTTGAGGTCTTTACTCAGATATCACCTTCTCAGTGAGGCCTTTCCTGTCCAACTTATAAAAATATACAACTGCCTCCTCTCCACGCTCCCTGTTCCCCTTCCCTGCTTTACTTTTCTCCACTGCACTTATCAACTTCGGACACATGATATATATTATTTATTTTCTACTTGCCTCTACTGCATTGTCAGCTTCCCGAGGGCAAGGATTTGTGTCTGTTATGCTCACCGGTATATGCTAAGAAGACTTTTTCTGTGAATTCCTACCACTTGATGGGACTGAGTTTCTACCGTGTTGAAACTCATCCTGGTTCTCAGAAAGGTTGTGCATACGTATGTGCATGTGTGTATACACCACACACACACACACACACACAAACACACACACACACACTTTCTTTTGAAAACTGCAAGAGGAGTCTGGCTTCTTGGCCTGGGTCAGGGATCTGTGTTCTCTTTCCAGAGCTACCTCTGATGATTTCTGTGTATCAGTTAGCCATATTGATAGCCTCAAATTTCCTGTCTGTGGAGGGCAGTGTCAGATTAGTCAAGATTCTTCATGGAAAGTCTGTATTGCTTTGTGCATCCCAGTTACTGGGTAAACGTGCATGGTCTGTTTGCAGCAGCTGTGACCAGGAGGGATGTACCTGTGCCCTTTCTGCTCCTGTGTGGGGCTAACTCCTCAGGTCCTAGCCATTTTGCCGACAATGGGCAGAAAAGGGGCTTTGTGTCTTGATCTTGCTTTTAATGTCATGCTTCATCCAGATTGCTGGCTCTGATTTTTCTTTGAGTTCTTTCTCTACGTTCTTTCTCTCTCTTTCTCTTTCTCTTTCTCTGACAGTGTTTCACTGTCAGTGTTTTGTACTATTTTAGTTTTCACTAAAACCAGATAATTGATTGACCTTCACAGACAGCTACTCCTTGATGTTAGTCTGTAACCTTTTATAATTTGGGGGGTAGGGAGATGAGGCATTTTTAATAGTGTCCTGGGAAAAAACCTCTTTGATTTCAGATACCGAGATTACAGTCCATTTTTTTCCTTTTTTCATATTTTCTCACTCTTTTGCTTGTTTTCTGATGAGAAGCTTACAATGCATTGTGTATGTATATTTAGTTATAAAGGAATTGTAAAGTGATCTTCTCTGGCCTTAACACTACAGAAAGGCTGTAGACGTGATACGATCCTCCTTCTTTAAAAATGAAATTATGTTAAGAGTAGTAAGCATCTTAGGGGACAATTAGTTGGAGCCTTTGGAGGCTTTATCTGCCTTTAAATTGTTTGAATGTTTTAAAAGTGCACATGTTATTTTTAACATACTGAATATAGTAATTTTTAATAAAAACATATTGAAGACTTTGGAAATAATGTCCTCTCTTGAAAATAAACTATCTTTGTGCTAATGAACACTAAACAAAGACAAGCAAGTGTTATAATAAAATACCACATTCAAAATACCTATGAATTGGCTAGTTTAAGAATATAATTTGCTGTGAAACACATCCTGAAAATATATCTCTACAGACAAAAGGTGTTGCATTTGTAATAAATGAAAATAAAATATCTCCATTCTTTTCTCTTCATATAAAACAAATCCAACCCCAAATCCCATTTTAACAAAACAATGATTTTCCTTGAGGGATGAAGCCAAGATGTTTTCTTTAAAAGACTATAGGACTGGTAAGTAATATAAAGAAATCAGAGTATCCTTGGAAGGTAATTCTTGGGAGATATGAGGTACTGTCATGGATTCATTTTTATTACTTAAATGTGAATTTAGACCAAGCAGACAGTAATTGCAGAATGGAAAATGAGACAGGATGTTTAGTGGATGCTCATACTACTTTTGTGAAAGGCTTTGGTACAGAATCTATCATAAAATGAAATCTCTTTTTTTTCCAGCATGTCTGTTACTTACTTTTAGACTTCACAGCAAGGGGTCTTGTTTGACAGGAAAACTGCAAACATTCACTGACCCAGAATTTGACTCTGCTGTTTCGTATCTTTCTTTTCTTTCTCACTTAGTCAAAGGGAAGGTACTATATAAAGTAGATTTGTTATTAAAAAGAAAGAAAAAAGTACATTTACCATGATCAGAAGTCTTTTGTGGCTTAATTAAAAACCAGTGCTTACAGCCCCAGGTCTCAACAAGTAGTCCTGCAGTTAAGTCGTGTGTCTCTCAGTTCTTGTGAACCAAGACTCTGTTTCTATCAGCAGACGTCCAGAGGTTGCCAAATTGAATAACACATTTGAAAAGAAGTTCTAGGCTTTTAACTGGCACAATCAGAGAATCCTGGTGCCCTCTCTCTCTGCCAAAGTAATCAGTTATCCTAAAATACTATCCTAAAATACTCCTACTACAAGGCTGTC